GGAATGTGCTCTTACTCAATAGGCTTTGTGAATCCCTTTGCTCTGGAGATAATGGACATTGTACTACAGAAGCCTTTCTTGGTCCGCAGAGGGGTGGTGTGAGGCCTGCTGTGCTGCAAGGGATCACGTTTTTGTAAGTCTGTGGAAAGAAGCAAGGGTTCAGGTTTTACATAGGGGTCCAAAGATACAAGAGACACCCAGGGTGAAGGATGAAAGAAAGAGATACTCTCTGTGAATAAACCTATGAATCTGTACCTGGCTGTGTGTGTAACAGAGGCTTTGCCCTAAGAGTATCAGATTGAATTCTTTCCAGGAAAGGATGGGTATGAGTAATGCCAATTCCTCTGGAGAAAAGACTTCCAAATAAGAGGTTGCTGATATGAAGAAAGCTACTGTGTAGAGATGGAAAGATTTATGGTTCCCTCCACTTTGATGTGTGTTTATTCATAAATCTACTGCAACCTATTTCGGCACTCATCTGCTTTAAAAACAAACAAACAAACACCAGATGAAAATTTGCATTCAAATACATATTTCTAAATGTATTTTCTCTGAAAACACACAATTCTTAAAAGTATTTTATCTCCAAAGACACATTTTAACTGCATTTCTATATTTACATGTGTGCATGTAGATAGATGGGCAGACAGAGAAACAGACAGATAATAATGAAAGCATCAAATAGCACATTAGACAAGTTTGTTCTAGATCCTGCTAGGAAGTATTTGTGGCAAAATTCTGGTTCCATTAATACAAACACATTCATTTGTGACTTGTTTCCATTATGGGATATCAAGGCATGTATGTGGCATCATGGCCACATGATGAAGAAAAAAAGGAAATAAAAATGACTTTTTAAAAAAATCTATCATTTCCCCCTTCCTCCTCCCTGTCCCACTCATTTTTTAACTACTTAAAAACTTCAGATGAAGCACTGAAAGAAAGAAAAAGAGATACAAAGGGAGGAGTGTTCCAAAAGTGCACAGCTTCATTTATCAGCCTTTATTAAAAGTAATAGAAGTGCTGAATCCAATCTAGTTTTACTTTGGGAAACATAAATCACGTCTGTCAAGATCAAGTACATCTTTGCAAACACTGCTGCCCGAGGATTAAAATTTAATTTTAAGAAAATGTTTCTAATGAGAGCAGCTCTTTCTTGGATAGTGAGGAAGGTAATTTGCAAGTGTGCCATATACTGTGCTGAAGAAGTCAGTAATTGTGCTTGAGAATGTTTGGCCAAGCACAAAAAAAATTAAAGGAATTGGTGGGGTTACTGAGCTCAGGCATCAGTAACCCTATTGACCTTGCAAGGTATAAAGGTCAGGTTTCATGGAGGGTAAGTGAATATGTTCTCCTTCCACTGTGAGAGACAGCATGCCTCTGAATACTAGCTATTGGGAATCACAACTGGGGAGAATGTCATGGTATTTATGTCTCGCTTGGGGACTCCCCATAGGCATTTAGTTGTCCACTGTGACATCCAGCAGGGATCTTCTTAGGTACTCTTTAGTACAAAAGTTGTTTTGGGTGATGGTTGTTCACCCTTCTGGCCCTAAGGATCTTGGACAAGCCAAGGCTTCAGCTCTGGCTAAACCGCAAATGCAAATGCAAATAATAATAATAATTTATACCCCACCCATCTTGCTGGGCTTCCCCAGCCACTCTGGGTGGCTCTCAACAGAATATTAAAACATGGTAAAACATTAAACATTAAAAACTGAAGGGCTGCCTTCAGATGTCTTCTAAATATCAGATAGTTGTTTATTTATTTGACATCTGATGGGAGGGCATTCCACAGTGCAGGCGCCACTACTGAGAAGGCCCTCTGCCTGGTTCCCTGTAACTTCACTTCTCGCAGTGAGGAAACTGCCAGAAGGCCCTTGGAGCTGGACCTCAGTGTCCGGGCAGAATGATGGGGGTGGAGATGCTCCTTCAGGTATACTGAGCCTAGGTCATTTAGGGCTTTAAAGGTCAGTACTGAAACTTTGAATTGTGCTCGGAAACGTACTGTGAGCCAATGTAGGTCTTTCAAGACCAGTGTTATATGATCCCTGCTGCCACTCCCTGTCACCAGTCTCACTGCCTCATTCTGAACTAGCTGTAGTTACCGGGTCACCTTCAAAGTTAGCACCACATAGAGCGCATTGCAGTAGTCCTATGGCACTCTGCACTTCCCCTTTAACACATCCCGTTTTCCCTTTCTTTGCCTTCAGTCTTTTGTCTTTCTTATCCCTTACTTTATGCGGCTGCTTGTTTCAAGCAATGAGATGACAACAGAAATCTGATGAGAACAGAAATTGTGCTCCGGCGGTGTGGCAGCAGCAGGAGGCCCCATTACCTAAAGTGGTGCTTCAGGTTAAGAACAGTTTCAGGTTAAGTACGGACCTCCAGAACGAATTAAGTACTTAACCCGAGGTACCACTGTATGTGTTCCATTACAGGGATATGTGTGGCGCTGTGGTCTAAATAACAGAGCCTAGGACTTGCCAAATGGTAGGTTGGCAGTTCGAATCCCCATGACGGGGTGAGCTCCCATTTCTCGGTCCCTGCTCCTGCCCACCTAGCAGTTCAAAAGCACATCAAGTGCAAGTAGATAAATAGGTACCGCTCCGGCGGGAAGGTAAACAGCGTTTCTGTGCGCTGCTCTGGTTCGCCAAAAGCGGGTTAGTCATGCTGGCCACACGACCTGGAAGCTGTCTGCGGACAAATGCCAGCTCCCTCGGCCTATAGAGCGAGATGAGCGCGCAACTCCAGAGTCGTCCATGACTGGACCTAATTGGTCAGGGGTACCTTTACCTTTTTATATGTTACATTAAACAAACAAAACCTTGGGGATAGATTATTCTTGTCACTGTTAATAATGATTTCTAAAATTGATTTCTTTTTTTCTGAGCACTGTACAAGATAGGAAAAAGCAGGCAGTCCCTGCCTGTAGGCTTATGAAACACAAAAGGGGAGGAGGGAGAATAGGGAAGAGAAAAGGTGTTACGATAATGTCCAGCTGGAATGCAATCAGCTCAGGGAAGGAAAGAGCCAAATGACAGCTGAGCCAATGGAATGGGCCCCACTGTTCCATATTCTGATAGTGTAGTGAAATTCTGTCATGGGGGTGGGGGTGGGAGCCTGTTTGAAATAGGCCTGTTCAGCTTGCAGCCAAACATAACTCACCAACCCATATAGGCCATATTCACACCGTACCTTTAAAGTACTGTTAAAACCACATTAAACAGTCATGGCTTCCTCTGAAGAATTCTGGGAGCTGTGGTTTGTTATGGGTGCTGAATGGGGTCTCCTAAGAACTCTCAGCATGGTTAACAAACTTCAGCTCCCAGAATTCTTTGGGCAAAGTCATGCTTGCCGAAAGTGTTATCACAGTGCTTTCAATGTTTGGTGCGAATGTGGCTATAGCGATGCACAATGGGTATTATAAACTTCCTGGAGTTTTGTTTGTTTGTTTTTGTATCTGTCTGGAACCGTAAAAATGGGGGAGCAGGACACTGTAGAGTCTCCAGATGGCTTCATAGGGCTCAAATTATGCAGGCTTTTTTTTTAAAAAGAATAAAATAATTTGGAAAAGTGCAAAATATATTTCACGTCTTCATAGCCACAAGATGGAGCTCCTGTCCTTTAAAATGTTGCACTTCAACAGACTAAATTAGCTAAAAGTTGCCTACATAAATGCATTTACCCACCAATTTGATTGGAAAGCGCTCTCTCCCTCCCCACACCCTTAAATTAATACCACTACTTGAAGTCATTAAATGACGGAAAGAAGAAGAAGATGACACTGGATTTTAAATATCTGATTAAATTAAAAAGAAACAAAGTAATGGCCACTTTTGTAGCTAGTGGAATGACAGCTTTATTGTAAATTAGGGAATGTTGTAAATAATTAACCTAATAAAAATAAACTTTGGTGACTGGGTGTATTAATCAAGGTCTTGCCTCTAATATAATCAACACTGTTGATAGTTTCAAAAGAGCTTCATCCAAAGGCCAATTAAATCAATTAAACTTTGTTTTGTTTCAATGGGTTATGTCCCGGGCAGTATTCAGAATAAAGTCCATGGGGAGCTGTTTTAAGACGATTGCCCTGGATCAACAAATATGTGGTGTAATACTATAAAAATCAAATCTCACAGTGTATGTGTTTTTGTTTAGGATTTGAGCATGTGTAGCAAAATCCAGCCTTTGGCTACCCGGTGCCAACAGGGAAAGGCTATAGCTTACTTGTAGAGCACCTGTTTTACATGCCAAAGGTTGTAGGTCCAAAATCTGGTATCTCCGGTTAGAGTTGGGAGTGTCCCTCTTCTGAAACCTAGAGAGTGATTTTAATAAGTGCAGAAAATACAAAGTTAGATGAATTAATGGTCTGGCTCAGGATAAGTCAGCTTAAAGGTAAAGGTACCCCTGACCGTTAGGTCCAGTCGTGGACGATTCTGGGGTTGCGTACTCATCTCGCTCTATAGGCTGAGGGAGCCGGCGTTTGTCCGCAGAAAGCTTCCTGGTCATGTGGCCAGCATGAATAAGCTGCTTCTGGCGAACCAGAACAGCCAACAGAAATGCCGTTTACCTTCCCACTGAAGTGGTACCTATTTATCTACTTGCACTTGACGTGCTTATGAACTGCTAAGTGGGCAGGAACTGGGACCAAGCAATGGGAGCTCACCCCATGCCGAGGATTTGACCCACCGACCTTCTGATCAGCAAGCCCTAGGCTCTGTGGTTTAGACCACAGCTTACTATATTCCTAATTGGATGGTGCCTCTCTCATTTCTCTGCAGTTCCCATCCCAGGGGAGAGGCCATGATGGGGAAAATTTGCCTATAGCTGCTGGCATTCATGACCGATGAAACAGTGTACAACCCAGTACTAAAGCTGTCACTGGATATTATCTGAAGTTATAAACAGGGCTGTTTCTGTTCATAGGATCAAAGAATTGTAGAGTTGGAAGGAACCACGAGCGCCATCTTGTTCAACCCCCTGCAATGCAGGAATCTTTTGACCAACGTGAGACTCAAACCCACGTCCCCTAGAGTCTCATGCTCTACCGACTGAGCTATCCAGGAATGTATGTAAGACACCTAAAGTGTTCGAGGAAACACTTGAGCACTTGAAATGTTGCCAAGGCTAGCAACATTTCTCCGAGAGATTTGACACATTCTTCAAATTGCAACCAAGTTTCACCTTAAGTAACATTCCAGGGTGATTTCGCTTAGAGAAATCACGGTGGACTTCCAAGAGGAGTGAAAAGGATCTGAGTAAGGCTAGCAAAAATTCCTCACAGCCATTTGCATGTCCCCACTGAATACCACTGATATTATTGCTATTCTGCAAGGAAATTCACTGAGAAGGGGGGGTGGGCAGAATCCTTGTTTTCATTAACAACTGCAGTTTTACTACTGTGCATCAGGTGGAGTTATCCTCTCATTTATTCCTCGGGAAACATAACTAGGTTGGTGGAAAATGCAGAATTATTTTACCAACATTGGTATTTCAATCATATAAAATGTGGGGCATTTGACTCTCTCTGCATGCAGATCATCATCTTCCATTCCAGCTGTGCGGTGCATTCTGAAGCCCATTAATTGCCTTTAAATTAGTTGGAGGGGGGTTAGTTGAGTCTGCATTTTAATGTGAAGCTACATAATTTACCATCTTTGAACAAATACACGAATCAAATACACAAATCGCAAATGCATCCAAATTCACACTTCTCCAAAATTTGGGAGGTGGTTTTCTTATCAAAAATGCACCTAAGAGGAGAAAGTCTGCCCACCCACCCCGCCCCCGGTGTGCACATACTTTTGAAAATTGTGTACAAAATGCATCATACTCTGGGAAATTTCTTGAATTTTCAAGATTTTTATCGTTAAAACAGTGGCGTAGCGTGGGGGTGCAGGGGGGGCCGGCCGCACTGGGTGCAACATCTGGAGGGGCGCGCACTCGCAGCTCTCTGCCCCTACTAAAATCCATGGGTTAGGGGGCACAAATTACTTGCCTTGCCCCGGGTGCTGACAACCCACGCTACGCCACTGCATTAAAATGCAAACGGATTCAGAAGTGGGAAGAAGTGATTTAATGTTGTGGACAAATGAGAAACAGATCCCTACCAAACAGTGACATTATTAATGCTACACCAGTGATCTTTCTTTCTTTCTTTCTTTCTTTCTTTCTTTCTTTCTTTCCTTCCTTCCTTCCTTCCTTCCTTTCTTCCTTATTTGCTATAATTATATCTCACCTTTCCCCCAAGGGATACAAAAAAAGCATACATGTTCTTCCATCTTCTCAATTTTATCCTCACAGCACCCTTTGAGGTATGTGAAGTATAGAGAGAGTGATGGATTCATTGTCATTCTGTGACATCCACATTGGAGTCAGTGAGAATTTGAACCTATGTCTCATCAACGCTTGCAAGTCATCATTTGATGCGGGAGTTATCAGGCATCCCTTACACTCTTGGTCCTTGGATTGTTACGTTATTCAGGAGAGTGGGTGGCGCTGTGGTCTAAACTACTGAGCCTCTTGGGCTTGCTGATCGGAAGGTCGGCGATTCGAATCCCCATGATGGGGTGAGCTCCTGTTGCTCTGTCCCAGCTCCTGCCAACCTAGCAGTTTGAAAGCATACCAGTGCAAGCAGATAAATAGGTATCACTGTGGCGGGAAAGTAAACAGCGTTTCTGAGTTCTCTGGTTTACGTCATGGTGTTCTGTTGTGCCAGAAGCAGTTTAGGCATGCTGGCCACATGACTTGGAAAGCTGTCTGTGGTCAAACACTGGCTCCCTTGACCTGAAAGTGAGATGAGTGTAAGGCGACCCCATAGTCGCCTTTGACTGGACTTAACCATCCAGGGGTCCTATACCTTTTACCTTTTTACCATATATATGTTTAGAAGAAGAAGAAGGGGAAGAAGAAGAACCAATTCACTGTTCTCTCACCCATCTGCCATCAGAATAATTGGCCATGGTATTGCATCATCTTCAGATGAGAGCCTTTTAGTACACACATCTGGAAAGTTAATGCAGAAAAGGGTCAGTAACCCATTTAAATGACTCCACAGCACACTCAACGGTGCTCTTAGATGAATGGAATACAATTAACCCGGCTGCTGAAGTTAACTGCGGAAGGCAATTTCTCATATGGCAGAGTTCCACACACCACACGGTTAAGTGAGGTTTTTCTCCCCCCCGCAATATCAAATAACTTTCCATTGAGGGAATGCCCTGCCGATGTTTTTCGAAACCTCTAATTAAAATATTTAGCTAATTATTTCCTGGTATGAAAGTAGGCGGCAAGTCACCGAAAACATGGAACGGAAAACAAGCCCAGGAAGAAAAGGAAAGGATGGGGGGGGGAATGAAACTCAACAATGCAGAAAAGGGTAGTTAAGGCTCACTGCAAAGATGCCTGAAAGAAAATCAGGTTGTAATTTAAAATAACATCTCATTAGCTTGTTTAATTACTCTCTGCCAGTGGTAATTGATTTTAAGGCTGAAAACAGAAACACACAGTACTTAGGAAAAAAAGTAATTTTTACCTCTGGTAAATTGGAGACAAGATAAAGGTTCCAACAAAGATGAAATATGCAGTTCCAATTACATTTCATTAAAAAGTAGCAGTGTTTGTTCATCGCTAATATGAGAGCGGTGTTTGAAAACTTTTGGTATTGAACCTTTATTATATTGATCTTTATTGATCTTTCTTTTCCCCCGTGAGCATCCCAATTTTTACACACACTAGGCTCAGTCCTATAAAGTGTTTGGGGAAAGGGCCACAGGGAAATCACAGTCTCAGTCAATCCCTCAGTGGTAAAGATCTCTGCCTGAGATCTGGGCATGTCAGAAATTAAATATCCCTTTGCCTGATGCAAATGACCATAGAATCATATAATTGCGGTTGACCTGAGGGTCACCTAGTCCAACCCCCTGCAATGCAGGAATCTCAGATAAAGCAGGGATGCTTGAAGATTTCAGGCTTTGCAACTGCTAGATATGAACAGTCCTGGGCTGCATCTACACAGGTCTGAAAATGCTCTGGGGGAAAAACATTTTAAAGCTCACAATGGAAAATTTCATAGAGTTCTGATTTCAGCTCTACAGTCCCACCTGGTGTCACAGTGTTATATCTCATTTAAAATATTATATTTTTACTAACGTAGCTGAGTGCCGAATCTGCACCTCCTGGCCTGTGGGTCACAGCTGAGAATGGGGGTCACAGCTTGGGCCCACTTTCACACCATGCATTTAAAACATTATTATACGACAGTCACAGCTTTCCCCCAAAGAATCCTGGGTATTGTAGTTAATTAAGGGTATTAAAAGTGATTGGGAGATCCTCACACCCCCAATACAAGCTACAATTAACAGAGTTCTCTGTGAAAAGCAATTGATTGTTTAACCACTTTGGGAACTGTAGCTCTGTCAAGTCAATAGGGATCTCCTAATAACTCTCAGCATGCTTAATGAACTACAGCTCCCAGAATCCTTTGGGGGAAGCCGCTGCTGCTTAAACTGGCATCATATTGCTTTAAAGTTTAAATGTATGGTGCAAATGCATCTTTGGTTACTGACCAGCTTCGACACTTCCTGAATGTTCTGACACATGCCTTGGCTCAAAAATGTATCAAAACGAACCTAAAAAGGCACCTTTCCAGATAAAAGCCTTTAGAAAGGCTTGGGTTTGAGAGAAAACAGTTAAAGATACATATTTAAACATGGGTCTAAATTTGAATTTCCATAGGGATTTAAAAATAAAATGCAATTGCAGCTCAGTGCAGGAATGGGACAGAAGAGGCGTATACAAAGTGACAGAACCCAGAAGGAGGCTGATTCAACCATCTCTAGAAAGAACACAATATAAAATATTACTTTGCTGCTGCCTCCTTCCTCCACTTCTGTTTCTCACGTGGCCTCAAGCATTCCAGAGTAACCTGTCATTCACTTCTGTTCGCTGTGGGGGAATGCTGTCGGATAATGAAGAAAGCAAACCGCACAGAAAGAACCCTTTCATGTAAAGTGGGAGGCCAAAAAAAGGCCATTTCCTTTCACTCCCTCCTCTTCCCCCAGTGCAAATATGGGCTTTTTGAAATTCTCCCTCTTCATTTAACACAAGGAAATAGATGTGCTGTCCTCTGTCCCTTCTGTCACATCGATAGCAGCGCTACGATTCATTTCTGCTCATGTTCTGACAAAGTGACAAAGGCACGAGCGTTTAGAGTTAAAGCCGTCACCAGTTATATCGCTCACCTCCGTGACTCGGCTGCTTGGAACCCCTTTAGAAGTTCCGTACAAGGAGCTGAGTCTCATGCGCACAACGGCTTTAAACTTCAGAACTTTGACTTTTCTCAAAAGAGGAGGGGATCTGGGTCCCTTTGCCACTACATGTGCATGGTAAGGAGATTTAACAGCGACAAGGGAAGATAAATTCTTCGAAGGGATATGAGCAGGTAAGTGGAAGGTGCTTGCCCCTGAAGTCTCAGTGCCCCCTGCCTTACAGTAGGCTGAAGTTACTGGTAAAATCTACTGGTAGTAGTTTGTATCTGAATACCAGGTGCTTGAAACTGCAGGAGCAGTGGGTGCTATTGTGCTCAAATGCAGCTTGTCAGCTTCCCATAGGCACCTGGGAAGCCACTGTGAGAACAAGATGCAGGAGAAGATGGACCCCTGGTGTACATATCCTCCAACATTTCTCCAATGAAAATAGGGACTTCCTAATATTTTTATTAGGGACGCGGGTGGCGCTGTGGGTTAAACCACAGAGCCTAGGACTTGCCGATCAGAAGGTCGGTGGTTCAAATACCTGCGACGGGGTGAGCTCCCATTGTTTGGCCCCTGCTCCTCCCAACCTAGCAGTTCGAAAGCATGCCAAAGTGCAAGTAGATAAATAGGTACCGCTCCGGCGGTGTTTCTGTGTGCTGCTCTGGTTCGCCAGAAGCGGCTTAGTCATGCTGGCCACATGACCCGGAAGTTGTATGCCGGCTCCCTCGGCCAATAAAGCGAGATGAGCGCCGCAACCCCAGAGTCGGCCACGACCGGACCTAACGGTCAGGGGTCCCTATACCTTTATTATT